AGTTAATCTTTGAAAAGGCTTTCAGGACCCCTTGTTTAGGTTTGTACACCACAACTGATGTTTTGTGAGTCAATGCAACCACCTCCACTGGGGTTTATCCAGGACCAATGGCCATGAAAGGCGAACATAAAGATGATTGTTTTATGTTCATACCAAATCATTACACTCTTCCTGTTCCATTTCTGTGTCCTCTTTACCATTTGAACCAGCGCTCTTACAAGGACATTTTTTTTTCAATTAAAATAAAGTCTTACAATAACTCTTTTGAAAAACTTCTGTATATCTGATGATCAGCTCGTCTCATTTGACCTCCTTACCTTTCTTGATAGCCACTGGGAGGTTCTCAATGACTCTGTGGTCCAGATGGTTTTCCTTGTGACACTTCATCATCCTCTCTTCTGCACGACCCACTTCCTTCGTCTGCTCACAGCAAGGAGATTTGGCTCCTACCACTACACTGCTGTGAATATTTTGTGCTGTAAGCAGATCTGAGACAGTTGGTTGATAACATGTTTTAATGTAACTTTATGGTGTAAACCAGAAATGCTAAAGAAAATGAAGGTGGGAAAATCTCACCTTTCTCTCTCAGGAAACAAAGAGCATCCATGTAGCCGTTGTGGCATATCTCAGCCAGCTTCTGCCTCACAAAAAAAAAAAACAGTTAAACATTACTGTACACTCTACTGCTTTAAAGTCGTGAGCTCTGAACATGAACCCACCTCAAGTCTGGGGGGGAGGAAGGATGTACAGACTCGATATACATTCCCTGTGTTGGCCTGAATGCTGACATTTCCGTAGTGGACTTCAAAGAAATTGTATGACCCTTCTCTGGGGCAAATGTCACTCTCTCCTGAGAACGGCGCCATGGTGATGGTGTTTCTCTGCTCGGACAACGGCATCATGTTGCTCAGTGCTCCATCCACGTAGCGCTTAGAAGAAAGAAAAATGATCAAAATTGATGGCAAGCTGAGATGACGAAGTAGATCTAGTGTGACAAAAACATGTCACGAACTGTCCTCATATACAAAGCAGCCATAGCATTTATAAAGTAAAGGTGGATTACTACTCTCAAATAAAGATCATACGTATGCTGTGTGCTCTGTTTGTATGCTCAATCATAATTTTCAGTCTGCTTGCCTCTTTACCTGTGTGCTCTATGCCACTTACCTTATGTAAACCTTGAATGAGTTTAAAATTAACGTGTGAGCAGAGAAAAAAATTAAAAGCTTTGGCTGTAACAAAGCCTCCAGATATTGCGTCTTTTAGCCAAGAAAGCCATAGACTGTATAAGATGGCCATGCCCACCATAACATCACCGACCGATTAGTAAGGTTATGTTATGAAACTTGCTGAGACTGCTGAGATGGTTGTCTTCGCTCAATTGCAACAGGGCGTGATGAGAAAGGATTTGATATGATATATGAATGATATCCCATTCCACTTCTATGATTCCCAAATTTACCTGCCTCTGAAATCTGGCAATAAAATGCTCCTGTAGCTTTGAAGCGGTTTTTCTTTCCCATTCTCTATGGTCTATGGCACAGAAATCTCTACTCATTTATTTCAATAATAAGACCAGTAAAAGCAAAGAAAGCATACAAAAAAAAGTTAAGCTCTACTGACCATGCCATGGTATGAAGGTGGAATGAAACCACAGTAAACAGGGAAAAAACAGCTGCACATGAGAACCTGCAAAGGTAAAGAGGTTAGATCACTAGAACAGAGAAGCCTAAAAGATCCCAACAATTTTTCTGTAAAGTCACCAATCTGATCAACCTGAATGAGCTCCTCTCTGCTGGCAAACTCGGACACCAAAACATTTTTCCCATCAGCTATTCGGGTGAGAGACACGCAGAGCCTTCCAGAAGCCCGGAGGTGGGCATCTTCTGGAAGCTTTTCCAGCAGGGAGTCCCTGACTGTCCGGAGCAGGCTGAAGGTCGGGTGGAAAACTCCAAAGGTGTGTTTTCTTGCCTCCTTCGCTGTGGTTAAAATATCAGCACACAACTGTTCTGAGGGGGAAAATGGAGCAGAACCAAATGTTCAGGCTAATGTAGAGAACCAGTGACATTATGATGTATCATTGCATTATCCACATGTCTGTTTTTTATTGCACAGCAGTTGTTTTCCCTACAGTCCGCTCACTTGACCTTGAATTCTGTGCGACCTATGGAATTTGCTCTCACTGTTGTATCAGCTGTTTGTGTGTCAGGAACTTATGAAATATACTGCCTAGTGTCAGATACAACACCATTTGTTTTGAGTTATGCCTGAACTTCATGAATGGACGGGTACTTCAAGTGCAAATGAAAAAAAGACAAAAATTTCATACAAAAATACAAAGCATTGCAATAAACATGAATTATGTCACACAAAATGTTTTCATATATTCAACAAGGCATGTAGAAATAAAATAAACTTGCATATTTTTATTGGTCAATTTTGTGTATGAGAATGATACCAAGAGTTACATTTTATTTATGAATTCCTCTTTAATTTCTCTTTAAGAAACAAAATGTTGAAGAGCTGGACAAACTGTAATCTGCAGTGCACATTAAATGTGACTCACCAATGGGAATGCCAACAGTGAGAGCTGCAGCCACGAGACACCCAGAGGAAGATCCACAAATTTTAGAAGCACCATGAACCAGCTGTGGAGCCCGCTCCAGGATACAGCTCAAAGCTCCCACGTAGTAAATGCTCCTGAATCCACAGCCTGCAAAAGAGATGTTCCACTCCTCGACCCAGTTAAACATCTTACCTGGTTTCTCCATTGACTGTAAGATTAATTAAAACTCAGAACGATATCTATAATATTGTCATTTTGTCAGTCGTGTCTCAGAGTTCAGCTGGTGCATTTAGGAACCTCCCAGGTTTGAATTGACCTGCGTTATCTGCACTACAGTCAGATGTAAACGGGGAGTGTTTTAGCTGGCTATGGTGTGGTATTGCACAACTTACTAGGCTCAAACGTTTCAAAATAGAAAACAAGCTGGAGTTGCTCACTAACTGTAATTTGGCCCGCTGTATGACATGTGATACAGTTTTCATTAGTTACACAACTCCGCACTGTGTACAAAAATATGGGAGGCACAAGTGGGAAAACGCCATGACCATTCTGACTAGTTAGTAGGTGTTTGTGAAGGGCTATAATTTATGAGATACAAAAAACCCCAAGAAACACGTGTGTGTTATATCATATTAGCCAATGAGCATTGTATTAGGTGAAATAAATAAACAATAAATAAATAAATAAATAAAATAAATAAAGTGATTCTATTTATTTGCCCCAATATTGAACATAAATGTGTGACTTTGTTCAAATCAAATATTTGGCTTATTTGTATTGTTTATATCTGAAAAATATTTATGTGGTTACAAGAGCTATAATAGATATTTTAAAAAACAACAACATCAAAATCAAAAATACCACGAGATACATATTTACTTTTACAGCTCCAGTAATACACCCCAGCTCTC